CCCATTTCCACGAAAGAGATTGCTCGTGTCAGAGAAAGTCAAAGTAAACGCGCGAAGACACTCCGCGACGAAATCCTCCGCGCATCCCTGCAATTTCTCCGTCGTTTTTCTTTTTCGTTATCTCATTGTTCCCCCCCTCTCCCCTTTTCTTCCTCCAGTCCTTGCTCTAAGTCCTCCCCCCTTTTCACTTTTTACACCTTGCGCGAATCTCAAAGCGCGTGTTTGTTGTATGCAACGAAACGGGAGCGCGCGGTCGAAATGGAATAGCGCGTATTGTTTTTCCCCGACCGCGTTTTTACATCGTGCCTCCGCCTTGCGTTAACGTCCATCGCATGTCCGTTTAGTATCCGCGTACATTATGAAATAACGGGGCTCTTTGTGCGAAATCCATCCGCTCGGCTCCTCCGTCTTTCCCCTTTCACGCGGTATGCCCCGGTCTTCTTTTGACGTCCTTCTTTTCCCCTTCGCTACGTTTTTAAACCGCGTTAGAATAAAAGTCGCCCGCCGGCGGCTTCGTGCCTGACACATGCACGAGATGCTCCGGAAATATGCGTGTGTGGCTGCCGCGCGAGAAGAAGGGAGAGAGAAAGACCGCCGTTTTAAGGTGAATTAAAGGGGTGAATTTTCTCTGGGGGAAAGCACAACCCGCGATCTCCGTCGCGACTTCTTGAGTTTCCATCGCGATGACAGTCCGTGGTGAAATGTTCAAGCTGAATTTCCTTCTCCCTCTCTGCCCACGGAACTCTTCGAACGTGGTCCGACTGATTAATTTAGGTCTTGATTTCGTTCTCTCGTACGTGCGCTCGGTTCATTACGCCTAGGGAATGGGACAGCATTAATGCGCGGTACTGTGCGTGTATCCCAGACGTTCGATCGAACCTTTATGACGAAGTAATGGGAAGCACGTGAATGTGGCGCTATCAGCCGACGGTCACCCCGGACTAATTTCCTTAAAAATCCGAAAGCAGCCGTCCTCGTACGTATGCAAATGAGAGAGTTGACGACGGGTAAATAAACCGTTTGGAAAGGCGGTTACCACCCGCGCAGAGGAAAGCCTTGGGGGAAACCGCCCAGTCAGCCGATACTTAAATCTCTTCGTATCGCCGTCTACGATCAGCCGGCGCTATCTCGCATTAACGGCCGCTACGTGTCCCTGAATAAATCGACACACTAAACAGTTTTTCGCCGGTGTCATTAAGCGCGGCGAGCTCGGATCATTCCGCGAAATTCTTCCCGGGATGATCTCCGCTGGAGGCTGGAGGTGTGTATCACGGCGTCTTCGACGCCGAGAAGCTAACGGTGGCGGCTTCGTGTAATAGGAGATTGCATCATGACGACGAGATAGTGCGCGAGATGAAACTGCAAACGTAACGAACTTCCCGAGACTTATTCCGTGGAATGTGCAGCGCGCCATGCCCCGAGTCGAAATCTTACTCCTACATTAAATCTACTTAATTCTACACCAAATCTTGCTCCACAACCTTTCTTTAAAATGCATTCAATTATTCTTCTAATAAACGAGGTGATCGGTCAATTTGCTTCTTGTTTACGTCTTGGAGCAAGGTTGCGGACGAAGACTCAGTCTCCAAATGGAGAAAATGGATATAACTTCCTATATTTGTAAAATTAAAAGAGCACTAATACTTTAATGCTACAAAGAGAATTTCAGCTTCCGGGAAATTTTTAATTCTACATTATGTCTTTCAAGCGGAGAAAACGGAAATAATTTCTCATTTGTAGCATGAAAGGAACACAATAGGAGACTTAATGGAAACTTAATGTAGAACTAAAATGTCGACTCTGGGCGGCACGGCCGAATTCTATTCTATAATCTGCTCGGCCTCGTTGCATTCAATTCACCGGTACGAATTCTCGGCGATCGGTCTTCTCAGCCCAGCGAGAGGAACCTCCTCCCCATCATGACCATGCGATCTATCGTCACGACTGTATTAACTCCGCGAAAATCCTCTAATAATCTCACAACGGGGGAAAGCTCGGCTGATTAATCAGCCGGGAAGCGTGCGCGTGACAATGCGTATTATGTCTCCTCTCTGGAGGATAAATTTGATAATAAGCCTGCCGGACAGGATTTGCCGGTGTAGGCCACTGGTCGCGTAGTAGATTGTCACTGATAGAGGTAGTCGAACGGAAGGACACGAGGAAGAGGGAAAGAGAGAGAAAACGGAAGATCGAGCAAGAGACGCGACAGATACTGGAAACCCATTGAAATGACGCGTCTTTTGTGATTTTCTCATTACTGGAGTGGAAGGCCGATCGTGGAAGAAGCCCATCCAGCTGGCCGGGGCGACTCCTTCCGTCGCCTCTGATCCTTCTCCTTTTTCTTTCTCGATCTCGTCCCCGATGCGCGCCTTAATGCGGATAACTCGGTGCCGGGCTATCCGGATGCGTATGTAGAATTACTCCCTTGCGGGGGACATGCGTACCTATCTCGTCTCCACGCCCAACTCCCGCGCCGCAGCGGAAATCGTCCAATTAGGATTCCCCGTGTCGGCTTCGCCGATCGCAAGGATCGTCTATTCGACATTTCAGACAGCTGCTTGACAAGACGCGAGTAATATTTGAAGAAGCGATTCCCTGATTATTTCGCGCGGCTTATTATCGCGAATGACATCTTTAAACTGCTGAGAGTACTGATTTCTCCGAGGAGGCGCGACGAAGCCGGTCCAGGACGGTCGCGAGGACTGTTCGTGAGACAAGCTCGCGCGTAGTCTCTCCCTCGCGACGTCAATTTGCGCCTTCGCGGGAGAGAGCAAGTCGTTACGCGGCATTGTTCGCGCATTGTTGCGGAGGCATGCGCCGACATTCTTCCCAGTGGCGTGTCCATTGTTGTCGAGCGCGCCCGGGCGAGCTCGTAAGGCGGAAGGTAGGCGAAGTCGAAGGCTTTTGTGAGGCGGAAGGGTGCACCTTGCGGAGGCGCCTCTGTCCCGTCGTTCTCCCGTCCGTCAACCGACATCAATTAGTAGCACGAAGCATCGGCGACTGTGTACATACTTCTGCGAGCGGACGCGTCCGTCGACGGAAACACGCATTAACCCCTTTCACGTGCGCGTGAAACCTCCTCCTCCTACGTGGTCGATCTTTCTCGACGAGAAAATGCTCTGCGGACACACGTACACACGTCCGTCAAAACTCGAGCTATCTCGAGCGCGCTTTGTTTTGCCTCGTGGAAGTCAAATTTGAAATTAAAATCCCACCGAAGCTCGCGTGGAATTAATCCGGCCGGAGGTCGGCCGACGCGGCGGAGTAGAGAGGGAGAATCCGCGCACGAAATCAAGCGACGAACAAGCGATCTCGCCGTCTACTCGCAGCCGCGAGGCTCAATTAAGCGAAACATCTTTGTTTATCCAACTCGCGCGGTAATAATATCTCGAGCGCGCTCTGAATCACTATCATCAATGTAACAGCTCGCGAAGCTATTAATCGAGGACAGCGCGCGAAACACTTTGATACACATACGCACACGCGCTCGGCGTACTCGGCGAATTTTCGCCGAGGCGTCTTTGCTCGCACGTACATGCCGCGCGCGTCCACCCTCGGTGCGTAAGCGGTACGCACGTGTAAACAGGAACGACGGTGTTTCCGTTGATTTCATCGCCCTTTCCCACGGCTCCCTCCTTGGGGCGTCATTATCATCCATTTGCTAATACAACAAGATAAATTGCTCGACCCCCGTCGCAACCTCACCTGACAAGTTTTCTCCCTGAACCCTCTTTCTCCGCCTCCTCGTGCTCCTTTCCACCCCGTTCCTTCGTCATCCACGTTCTACCCGCTCTCTTGGATCTCCTTCGAGAACATCGCCGACGCCCTCGTGCCCGGAAGGGCTGTATCGAGTTTCGTCCACGTCGCGGGTCGGAGGAGGCGGGGATGAGCAGACTGCTTGGATAAAATGTGTCGCCGGCTGGAATTCGATCCGATTCGCTTCTTAACGCGCCAAATGGCATTCTCCTCGCGACATCGCCCGATGGGGATAGTCTCGAGAGAAGGAAGGGAGGGAAAGGAAAGAAAAAACGCGCGCGTAATGGAACTCGACCCTTCTGGTCGCGTGAAATAATTATCTCGTTTCGCGTCGGCGACGTGTTTTGCGGGACGCGTTAATTAATTCTAGATTATCGATTCGCCGCCGGCCGGTCCCGTAGGCCACGTGTGGTGGCGGTAACGCAGATACGCGGAAAGAGTATTGGAGTTAATCAAGATTAGCGCTAATGAACGTCGATGCAACACGTTCTCGTTTACTTGGTCCGATGGAGGCAAGACGGTATCGATCGTTGGCGATATCGATACCGGCGCCAGCGCACGCAATGCGTGCTAATTAAAAATTCCTGCGAGACCCATTTTATTTCGCGAGCTGTACATCGCGAGAGAGCGGCTGAATGGCCGATACCGGTGCGCCTTATCGATCAGAACAGCACACGGGGAATTTTCTGAGAGAAAAAGAGAGAGAGAGAGAGAGAGAGAAAAAAGGCAGCCAATCGTGACGATCGCGTGTCGAAAGCGATGAAACGCTATCGACCCATGCACGGCATTTACGCAAACACGTGCCGCAGCCGCGTCTCTAACGGGGGATTTCTCGTCCATTTTTCCGCGCGAATTTCTTCGCTTTGTGTCGTCCCTGCATTCTTTCGCGCGCGAACACGCGCGGGGTTGATCTTATTTCGCGATAATCGCCTCGCGGTTTTCTCTCACAAATAGAATCCCGTCGCGAGCAATAAGATCGAACCGTGAGCCTTATCTACAACACGCCGGTGAAATTCGAGTCACTTATCTCTCTCTCTCTCTCTCTAGACTCGTACACCTCAGCGCAGATTCCAACGTCCGCGAAAGAGACGGTACGGATTTCTAAATCTTCTCACCATCCGACACGTCGACAATTTTATTGCCGCGCGCGCACGCGCTACAGCTAAACGAAAGCTCCGACCACCACCAATCTTTACGATTCTCGCGGAAGTACCTAACGTCGTTGTTTCTCTTTCTGCTTCCAGGTGAGTGTCCAGGAATTCCAGTACGCTCGCGGGACGGGCGCGTCCCTGACGATGGTAAGCCATAAAGCAATGTATACCGTCGTTTTATCCACGTATTACCACCCTCTCCCTCCTACGCCGCCGAAAGGCTCTTTCCCGGGACGATGTAGCGCGTGAAGGATATGGGAAGAGGTCCTAATATCTCGCAGGCGCACATCCGTCTTAATTAACGTCGCGATACATCTCGACTTCCGCCCGGGCTGCCGACGCAGCAGCATTCGGTTTAATATGCGCGAGCTTACTCCTATAATCTTGCCGCTCGGCAAAAATTACGAGGGAATTTAGCTCGTTTCCTCCTGCGTTAATTTCGTATTATTTCTCGTTGGGAATCTTTTGCGGTAAACGTTGGAGATCGCGCGGTAGGGATGGGATATTTCATTGGATTTTATTTTGGCGCTGCGTTATGCGCACGCATCAATTATACGTATCGCATTTCCGTCGTATCCGATACTTCGGTCGAAGCCCCCTTCCCCGTCTCTCCCTCTCTCTCTTCTCTATTATTCTTGCAATTTTCCGTTTATGGTGTTAATTATTGCGATAGGTCGCTAAATATGCGCGTCACTTTGCAAAATCATGAAGTAACGTGCGTGAGCGCGCTCCGTCTGTGCATGATATAAATTTCGTAATTTTGTAAATTTGACGTGGGATCCGACCGCGCGCGCGCACGTGGGCGCGGTTCTTTGGCGCATTAAACATAAATGGCAATTCCGCCCGGACGTATAATCACACGCGAATCAATCATTTTAACACAATAACAAATATTGGTGTCGATGTTTTGCGAATTGAAAACAACAGTTAGTCGATATTTTCCATCGCTCATATTGAACTGATCTAATGCGTCAATATAAAGCGTGAACGCGGCGCTCGCAATTCGCCGGTGTATACTTCGCAAAATGCATAAGGTTCCGCGACGGTTGATCAGACGATTTATTTAATGAAACTTTTCTGGAAAAATATGGCCGACATTTGGCGAATCTCCCGCATAGAAAACTTCTTGGGACTTCACTGAAGTCCTGTCCGATTGAATAAAATATACGAAACACTTTAAATATTCAAACTTTACAAGTACACACGCGCTATTAAGTATTATAATATTAAAAATATAACTCAATCTCCTAATGCTGTATACGAAAAGATTTCTATACGGGATATTTTCGTTTCTGTTTCGCGTCGGTCTCGGATGCAGCAACGGGTCCAACGTTGGATGAACGTGGATAAGAAAGACCCCGGAAAAATCTCGTTAAAGTCCTCCCTCTCTATGCATTTTCAAGCGCGACGAGCGAGAATTTAGCATTGCATTGGCTTCGAGACGATCTTGTATAAGCTTCTCCTGACGCTCGTTAATATCTCACGAAGCGGTTGACGACGCGAGGATAAAATCGCGAAAGAGCGACCGCAGGCTAAGGCGGGGATGATAACGAGGGCATAATATTGCATATGGATGGAGGGGGGATTGAAGTCACATGACGTCGGAAATCTAATATCGCTTTTTCCCGATCTGTTTGTCTTCGAACGCGCGTAAACGACGCGCCGCGAGCGGATGAAGGATTGCGGCAATATTTGCGCGCTGCGAAATGTTCCGCGGCGACGAGCGCGAAAATACTATCGCCAACGCGAAAAAGTGAAAAAGAGAGAAGAGGGGTATTTCGCGCGGGGTACTTTTCATCGCGCAAAATAAACGAGCATGCGCTCGCTTTTATTTCCCCGAGCGTTGCGACGGAATTTGTTATTAACCGCATATCGATTACGGTGTTTCGATGCCAGGACGCGTGGGCGCGATCGTAAAAGGTTTGATCGTCGCGCGCGGTCCTTTATGTCACAGCCGAGTGTTTTACGCGAGCAAATCAACTTTCTCAGCGTGTGCCGACCAGCGAGCCCCGATTCATAAAAAAAAAGGTCGGTTAATCGAGTTCGGATAGACGCGACGGTGGAAAAGGCACGGATGATGAACCAGCAAACGCACGTTGTCCGCGACAAACATGATCCTCCGGCGGCGCTGTATTCGAAGTTACAGGCTAATAAAAACCTCCGAGAGAAAAAGACAGATCCGTCTCTCGTTACAGATGGTTTTGCGACGTATCATTGCGCGCACGGTACATTTAACTTGCGTTCCAGTAACGATAGCGCTTGTTTCAAAATGCGATGCGCAACTTACGAGCTGCACGGTGCTTATAGGCGTCGGGAAAAAACGGTAACGGCGACGAGCGCACGCCACGATGTAGCAACGCATCCCGGCTTATCTTTATTCCGCGCGTAAAGCCGCGCACGAGAGAGAGAACGACGGGTCTTATCAACCAGCGAGCCTGCAGGTATCGTTAGAACGCGACATGTTCCCCAACATGCTTCGCGTACAAGCTGACCATTAGCATTTATTTCCTCGTTGTAGACGATCCTCTTTCCCATCTCATTACCAGAAATTCCGAGTTTCGAGCGTCGCTTTACTTCCGGCAGACCGATGATGCGCGCACCGGTCGATACGCTTCGTCGAGAGAAAAACTCCAATCTATCTCGTGAATTGTGTTTCACGTAGATACGTTCCCCAGCGTGTGTCGTTTATCTTATTTTCATTCGAAAGAAAAAGAACACACACACATACTCGCTGAGAGGTAGATTAAATAATAATATTTATTATTATTAGAGGTTATTATATTTAATAATATTATCCCTTCGGCCGCACACTCAGCAAAAAAGTCACTTGCGATGTAAAATTATATATCGACCGCATGCTATAAGTCTAACCGATCCTGCATCAAATTTGGTTGGCTCTCAAACACACGTTAATCGGTTTATCAGATCCGCACCGTATCTAACGGCCAGAGCGACTCTAATGATTTTTCGGGAATGAGGAGAACTCACGCACTTCTCTTCGCTGTAGCTCTTCAAACACGATTCACCGGCCACAATACGGTCGAAGGGTTATTAACGAATGAAGGTTATAAGCCTCTTCGATATTCAATCAATTTGTGAAAGAGGAAAGACCATTAAAAGTCGGATAATATCAAAATATTATTAAATAATGCGTGAAGTAATAAATTACGTGTTAATAGAAATAGCAGTCTACTTCCTACGCGTCTGACCAAGAACGTCTTGATCTACTTCGCTTTTCCGTCTGCTCGCGAGTCTCTTGTCGTCTTCGCGTCTCCATGAGATTAATTCTAGACGAAGACGATGTTCTCAGTGTGTTGCGTTACTAACGAAGGAAGGGACTAACGTCTGAAATCCAGTGTGTCGACGTTAATTATTCTCTAATACGGGTTATTAATAATGTTCGTTCAAACGCGAACTCTCCGACCCGGGGATAATGCGAATTAATTGTTTTCGGTTGACAGTGACTCACCCAGTTTACAATAAACGCGCTGAAATATTTACGCGATAACTCCCCTCCCCCCCTCTCCCGAAATTTATATCCAGTGCGGTCATCACGTGCCGCAGGTAGAAAATGTACGCGCTTCTCTCATCCGCGAGCGATTTCCTGCGTGAGAACGTTTCTTCGCGAAGCGTTTCCTCTCTGTGAAGCCGAGCCCTCCTCCTGTTCCTCCTCCCCCTCCTCTCTCTCTCTCGCCTTTGTGTCGCGAGCTTACGTTGTTCCGCCGGGACATCAAAGCGTACACGGAGCCCGGCGGTTTCTCGCCCTCGCGATTTCCTGGCCGGCGAATTTCCGAGGACGTGACGTGTACGAAAACCGTTTCTCCGGGGCGAATCCTTGGCTTGACACTTACGGCTCGCAGCCCTTTAACCAAGCCGCTACTTCCAGCGAGTGAACAGCTTTAAGGGGCGCGTCGCAGAATTATGGTAATTTTGTCAGTTCTTTCACGCATAGCTGCGCGATTATAACGAGCTCTCGCGAAGAGTAACTTTTTATAGCGCATCTATTTTTATTATGGCGCCATCCTTTACTTCGGTGATTATAAAGCAAAACACTATTAGAATATGTTTATGTCCCGGCTATAAGGAAGATACGAGTATAAAAGCTGAAATAAATGAAAATATCGCGCCTTAAAAATAGCGATCTATTTTCAACTAGATTTCGGACGCTCGTCCGATCATTGGCGCTTTTATCTACTGCGTTCTCTCGACTGCGTGTTGCACGGCTCGCGGAAACACTTTTCATCGTGGCTCCCGCGTTTTCTTCCGTCGAGATTTCGCGCGTCCCTAGTTCGTCGCAGCCGTCGAAATAACGCGAGGAGGCGCGCTCGCGTTACGTAATAGATTACTTTCGTCCGCGTGTTGACTGCCGCCGCTATTGAGCGGTCGTTCAGCTGACGAACACGTTGTCGTACCGCCGGCGAAATCCCGCGAGATGCGTGTCGCGGAAATACCGTCACGCTGCTTGTCGTCGGAAGCGTGTATCGGATGCGTTTCGATTAGTAGCGGAAGAACCAGCGAAACGTACGTAGTAACAAGGATGTTCCCGAATCCGCGATCCTCCTCGTCGAAACATTCATCGAAACGAATCGAGACTGATTTTCGTGTCGACCTTCCGAGTCCAAATTTTAGATTAAGCCTTCAAAGGTCTTCTATTGTGCTTCTTTGATGCTACAAATGAGAGCTCATTTCCATTTTCTCCGCTCCGTGGAATTTAAAATTCCGACTTGGATTTCTACCCCATGCGCGACATTCCGAATCTCCTTCGCGGCTCCAGACTCGGAGTGGACTCGATCTTTCCAGCGGCACGATTCTTTGTGACGCGTGAAAATAGCTCGTTCCTATCCTACTCTTCCCGCTTTTCCTGATCCTTCGTCAGCCTGCGATCGTCTTTTCTCACGGAATCACGTGGGCATGCACTATTACACCCATTGCGTTCTTTCAGGCCGTTCGTCGATTCACGTTTTTTATTATCAAGCAGGAATCGGTGGAATCGCTCATCCCCGAGAGTTTCTTCCACTTTCTCTCATGACCGCGATGGGTAATCCAATTTTCCCCTTTATACGACGCTAATCAACGATTCACGATTTGTAGTTCGTCGCTGGACGCTTTTGTTCGGGAAACTTGAGCCGATACGCGCGCGTAAACGC